CAAGAAATGCGGCCAGATTGCTGTCCAGCGTCTCGCAGATGCCATCAATAATTATCGTCTTACGCCTAGTGTCCGACGTACTCGGAGGCAGCGACGTAGGTGTCAAATCCCGAAGTTGCGCCTGGACATCCTTCAGGGCGGAGGTTATCTCGCCTAAGCGCTCGCCGTATTCGGCGAGAATGCCGTGAACCTCTCCCTTAAAGGAAGATAATTCCGCTTGAAGCGCGGGGACTTGATTGTCGCGAGCAGCGCGAAGCATTTCTTGGACCTGCGCGGCTGCAGCAGCCTGCGCTGGCGTACACGCCGGGAGCCCGCCCGTAGAAGGCGAGGCCCGCTGCACGGTCTCCGAAGGCGATTCCGCCGGAGGATCAACGTCCATCTGTGGACAATTAACAGGAATATTATTAATATGATGTCCCTTATTGGGAATAGCCAAAGGGTGTTCGTCTTCGTCGTCGGAATTAGCAGCCTCGGGCGCAGCAGGGTCCTGTTCCTGAAGGGATGCTTCGCGATATCTTTCATACGATTTTTGAAGCTCAAGGAATTTAGTTAAACGCTTTTGCGCGGCCTTATTGTAGCGCATCGCGTCAAGGAGGATCGAACTTGACGATCGATACCAATGTAGCAGTCGCTCACCTGACGGGAGGACTGGCAGAGCGGAAGCGTGGAGTTATTAGTCCTCGTCGATGTAGGAAGAAGTCCAACCAGGCGGCAAGCACTAGCGTACATAAGATGTGTACGTAACGGTTAGAGACGGCGGCAGCGGAGTCTTGAACTCCAAACACCTAGTAATGTGATACGTCAGTGTCTGGCCAGAACACCCCGCCCGGGTAGCTTATATCTCGGCCTACCTGCCGGATAATCTCTACTACGGACCTTGCCGTACTAGGATAATGTTGGTGGGGCCCGGGGCCCCAGCCCGTTAGATTCGCTTACTAACAGCTGCCCAGTTCGTGACATGTGACGAAACTCGGAACATGTACGAAACTTGAGTCAGATCATTTAACAAATTAACAGTTATTGTTAAAAGTAATCGTTAAAATATTCTAAGGGAAATGTAGCCTGCTACAACACGAGAGCATACCCCCTGGAGCTGGCCTTCTGGATAAACACGACCCAGTCTACTGGCCTAAGGCAACTCAGCCTGGGTGCTTCACCACGCGAGAGCATAACCCCCGGGGCTTGCCTTCCGGATAAACGCGACCCAGTCTACCGGCCTAAGGCAACTCAGCCTGGGTGCTTCACCACACGAGAGCATACCCCCTGGGGCTGGCCTTCTGGATAAACTCTTCCTATGCTACTGGCCTAAGGCAACCCAGCCCTGGTGCTGGCCTTCCAGCTAAACATATCTAAGCCTACCGGCCCAAGGCCACTCAGCCTGGGTGCTTTACCACGCACCCCCTGGGGCTGGCCTTTCGGAGCAGCACAACGCAACCAGGATGCTTCTCTCCCTGAGAGCATCACCCGGGTAAAGCCTACCGGCCGTGGGCACTCGTTATTGGGCAGACTTCCAGAGTCTAGTTGCTACCCGATGAGCGCAAGGCGGTCCGGGTGCTTCAGTGGGCTCCAGCTGGTCACCTGGCATTAACCCGCGGTGGTAATAAACCATGCTGAGCTAAACCTCAAAGCAATGACCTCTCCGCCGCGGCGCCATCCCCTCGTAGCCGGATCACCCCATTCCCCAGCAAAACATGCGTAGTTGTCAACCCTTTGCGGCCGGTTTAGGGACACCCCTTTCCCTCTTACACACAACTGGGTAGGCCTAGTTGCAGCTGGCTGTGCCTGCTTTCAGACAACGTGGGATAAGGCGCGGAGTCCGTTGATCACCGCATCATCCCCTTCTGGGTGTTTCCATCGCGTGCCATTCTTATCGCCTTCATCATAGCCATTACTTCATTCTCCTCCGGACCTCCTCCAACTCCGCCGTGCACTTCATCCCGCTCGGCCATCTCTTTGCTGTTACTGACGCCCGATGTGCCAGTAACGCTGTGTTCTCTGATTTCCTTCCTTATTAAACTGGGTCCAAATGTATTGTATATTGTTATTTTTGATGTCCCTATTCCCCAACAAACGACGTTCTGACTTGCGCTTGCTTGCACAGTTATCTGGCGATCTTGCGTTGTCTGAAGTTAGCGCCTTGTTCCCAGCTAATCTTTGTGGGCTGAACACAACTCAGTT